AAAGTGTATGTGATGATCTGATATACTTAAATATGTGAGAGGATTCCCACCATCAATTTAATTAACATATCTATCAACCCATTCTCCCAACACCCCTTTTTTTCTGTGAGAACTTTTAAGTTCTACTCTTAGCAAATTTAAATTATACAATAGTGTTTTCACCATGCTGTACATTAATCCTTAGACTTTATTCATCCATCCTATAGCTGACACTTAGTATCCTTGTACCAGCCTCTCCTTATGTCTTCCTCCCAACTCCTGGGAACCACTTTTCTACTCTCTATAATTTCAACTTTTCTTTTTCTTTTCTTCTAATTTTTAGTTATTAAAAAGAATGTTGCTACAAACAGGGCCAGGACTAGGGTAAGGCTAAATTTCAGAAGTAAATGTATCTCACACCTGCTATGAACACTTTTATGTATGTTAGCTGATGTAAGAGTTTCTCTAGTATATTTCTACAAATGGATTGCAGGTCATGGGGTATATACATCTTCAACTTTATTACTTATGGGAAACTCTAAGGTGGTTATAATTATGCTTCTACCCCCAATTCCTGTTGCTTACATTCTTCATATTGTTACAACTTTAGTTTTTGTAAATGTGAATATGAAATGAAGTGTTTATGTGATATTAATTTACATTTCCCTGATTATTAAAGAGGTAGAGCATTATTGGTTGTCTCTTTTCCTTTTCTGTGCAATGCCTAGTTTATATGTTTTGCTTATTTTTCTACTTTGCTGTTTACTTTTTTTACTGATTTGCAGTTATTTATCGTTTCTGGCTGTTAATCCTTTGCCATTTTTTTGGTTGTGTTTTGTACTGCAAATATCTTCTCTTAGTTTTCTGTCTTTACTTCCTTTTTGGAACAGAAGTTATTATTATTATTATTTTTTCTTTTTGGTACATGCCCCTTGCAAGAACTGAATCTGGGACTCTGGTCCACAGGCCAACGCTCCAACCGCTGAGCCAAACCAGCCAGGGCGAAATTATTAATTTTAATGTTGAATATTTAGATCTTTTAATGTTTTAAATTTATTTTTCAATCACAATTGACATATAATATTATATTATTCTTCAGGTCTACCACATAGTGATTAGACATTTATATACCTTATGAAGTGATCACCTGATAAGCCTAGTACACATCTGATACCATACATAGATTACAATGTTATTGACTATATTCTCTGTGCTGTATGTTATATCTTCATGACTATTTTTATAACGAGCAACTTGTACTTCTTAATCCCTTTTACCTTTTCCATCTACCACCCTCCAGCTTTCCACCCATCTGGCAACCATTAATTTGTTCTCTGTATCTATGAGTTTGTTTCTGTTTTATTTGTTTATTTTGCTATTTAGATTACACACGTTAAGTGAAATCATGGCATTTGTCTTTCTCTGACATATTTTACTTAGTATAATACCCTATACGTCTATCTATGTTGTCATAAATGGAAGATTTCATTTTTTTCCATGTCTGAGTACTATTACATTGTATATGTGTACCTCATCTTCTTTATCCATTTGTCTATCTGTGGACATCTAGGTTGCTTCCATAACTTGGCTATTGTAAATGATGTTGCAGTGAACATAGGGGTGCATATATTTTTTCAATTAGTGTTTTAGATTTCTTTAGAGAAATACCCAGAAGTGGAATTGCTGGGTCATATGGTAGTTCTATTTTTAATTTTTTGAGGAACCTTCATACTGCTTTCCACAGTGGATGTACCAGTCTGCATTTCCACCAACAGTGCATGAGGTTTCCCTTTTTTCCACATCTTCACCAACAGTGGTTGTTTATTGATTTATTGATGATAACCATCCTGACAGGCATGAGGTGATATCTGATGGTAGTTTTAATTTGCATTTCTCTGATGATTAGTGACATTGAGCATCTTTTTTTTTTTTATCCTCACCTGAGGACATTTTTCTATTTTTTGTTCAGAAAGACTAGGAGGGAGAGAGAGGAAGAGAGAGAGAGAGAAACATCAACGTGAAAAGTACACATCGAGTGGCTGCTACCCGCACAACCCAACCAGGGCTGGGAACAAACTGCAACCAAGATACGTGCCCCAACAGGAACTGAACCCAGGTCTCTCTGGACCGCAGGCTGACGCTCTAACCGCTGAGTGAAACCATTCAGGGGAAGCATCTTTTTTTTTTTAATGATTTTTTTAGAGAGAGAAAGGGAGACAGAGATAGAAACATTGATGTGAGAGGGAAACATCGATCCGCTACCTCCTGCATACCCTCTACTGGAGATCAAGTCCGCAACCCAGGCATGTGCCTTGACTGGGAATCCAGCCGGGACCTCTCAGTCCATGGGAGTGATGCGCAATCCACTGAGCCACACTGACTGGGCTATTTTTTAATTCTTCTATTGATATTAGAGAGAGAGTAAGGGAGAGGGATAAAGAGAAACATCATTGTGAGAGTGGAACATTGGTTGCCTCCTGCATAACCCCCTACTGGGGACTGAGGCTGCAACCCTGGCATATCCTCTGACCAGCAATTGAACCAACTTTTCAGTGCACTGGACAGTGCCCAACCAACTGACCCACATTAGCCAGGGTTGCTTTTAAGAACTTCTTATTGTCTCTGGTACAGGTCCTTGTGATGTATCTAAGTGTGGTTTTATTTTCATTTAACCTGGTCAGGATTGGTTGAGAATCCATATTCTAAAGATTAGTGTCTCTCTTTACTTCTGGAAATTGTCAGCCATTATTTTTTGCTCGTATCATATTATATCAAACATAGGAGGTAGAAAAATCCATTTGAAGATCTTCTGCAAAGCAATAATGTAATATATTATTTATTATATTATTTAATATGGTGTGTCCCTTAAAAATAACTCCCTCTTAGTATTGAGTGCTAGACAATTTCTGTGCATAAGCACCTTTTTAAAAAATTTGTTGTTTTTTTTTAGAAAGAGGAAGGGAGAGGGAGACAGAGAGAAACATAGATAAGAGAGAACATCGATTGGCTGCCTCCTGTGTGTCCCACGATGGGGATTTGGCCCACAACCTGGGCATGTGCCCTGACCTGGAATCAAACTGGCGACCTTGTGGTGCATGGGTTGACACTCAACCACTGAGCCACACTGGCTGGGCTTTATTTTTAATTTTTATATGAACAAGCTTTTAATAGAGCTCAGGTATGTAAAATACTATACACTGTAAAAGATCTAGAAAATTAGAACTTCAAGTCATTTTTTTTTATCCTCATCCGAGGACTTTTTTTTGTTTTCTGTTCAGATAGAGTGGGAGGGAGAGAGAGGAAGAGCCAGAGAGAGAAACATGGATGTGAAAGGGACACATTGAGTGGTTGCCACCCACACAACCCAACCAGAGCCGGGGACAAACTGCAACCGAGGCACGTGCCCTTAGCGGGAACCGAACCCAGATCTCTCCAGACTGCAGGCCAACGCTCTAACCGCTGAGCCAAACCGGCCAGGGCTCAAGTCATTTTTAATAAGCTATTAATTAAGCTCTGCCCACCTAGTGTGGCTCAGTGGTTGAGCATCAACCTATGCACCAGGAAGTGGCCGGTTCATTTCCTGGTCCGGATACATGCCCAGGTTATGGGCCAAATCCTCAGTAGGGGGCATGCAGGAGGTGGCCAATTGATGTTCTCTCTCATCGATATTTCTCTCTCTCTCCCTTTCTCTCTAAAATTGATAAAGGGGGTTAGAGGGGATGGAGCGGAGAGTGTCTAGGGGGGGAAAAGGAGAAACATCTGTAACAAAAATAAATTAATAAAAATTGGAAAAAATGAAAAATAAAATGAGGCCAATCAATCAATAAAGGAAAAAAAATTAAAAACCCATTAAGCTTAATTGAAAAACCAAGTGCAAAATTGCACCAAGGGCTATGGCGATTCAGTAGCATCTAGATCCAGGTCCTTCATGCAGAGCAGCAGCCTCAATCAGTGGATATCACAATAATCTGCTGTGTGGACATAGGCATGTTCAACCTAGGGGTGGGGTGGAGAGTTGCATCTGGTTCCTGTTGTCACTTCAGTATTCTTGAACTGGAATAGGCTGCATAAGACCAAGAAGCAGCCGGCACAAAGGATTAAGTTGGAACTCCCTGCCACCCCACCACAACATTGACCTTCAACTTCTGGGTTTTGGTTCTTCCCGGGAGCTGTGTTGGATTTGTCTATGATTGGAGGGCCTTAACAGCTTGGTCTAATGGTGGTGACTTCTGTAACCCTCTCATGTACTGCTGCTGTCATTTCATTGTGTGCTGCAAATGAACCTTTTCTCACCATCCCTGATCTACCATGGAGATCTCACAGAACAAGTTGCTTGAAATATTTTGGAAGATCAGAATATTCGTTTTTGTAAGAGATGTCTTCAATCCCTTTATCCAACATGTTTTCTCGAAGCTTCTTAACTCATCTACATCTCCTCTTTAAACCAGCATGAAATGTTCTAGGTCAGATTTATGCTTGACAGCCTCCAGAAAAAGGGCTTGGGAAGTGGTGTCATCCATGGTCTGGCCACAACCCAGAAAAAGAAATGACTTGTGCTGTGGCCATTTTGACTCAGCGATAGAGCGTCGGCTTGTGGACCAATGAATTGAGGGTTCGATTCTGGCCTAGGGCATGTACCTTGGTTGTGGTTCATCCCTGGCCCTGGTCGGGGTCATGCGGAAGGCAACCAGTTGATGTGTCCCTCTCACTTTAATGTTTCTCTCTCCCTCTCTCTCCCTCCCACTCTATCTGAGGATAAATAGAAAAATATCCTCGGGTGAGGATTTAAAAAAAAACAAAACAACTTTTTGTCATTGCAGCACATTCTATTTAAAAAAAAATCACTTGTTCTCATAGAGTTTCTGAATCTCTTGTGACTTCAGTGTTTCTGAGCACATCCTGATACCAGCTGCATGAAGGACAGTGCCACTAGGGTTGGTGTAACATGCGCAGATTCCACTTCTCGTGAGCCTGATCTAGGACCTTTTTTTCATGAGTAAGGTCAAGGATTCAAGTTGTTTTTCCTGGTCTGCTGCATGCAGTTCCAGGAGATTGTCAAAATGTGTAGTCAATACCAGGGCTCCATTTTCCAACAGGTGGAGAATTGACTGAAGTAACTTCCATAGTCTTCCATCTTTGACTCCAAGTCATCAAATACTTCATATAAACAGTACTTCAAACACGTGGATCAACCATTACTAGTACAAGAAGAGTTTTTGAACAGGTCATGGGCAACATGAACAAGATTTTTGTCTTCAGGAAGACATTTCTGAAATTTTTGCTCTCATTGTCTAGAAGATCAAAATCATTGGCAGCATCAGTAAGGCTTGAAGTAACCCCTTCCAGGATTTCAGAACAGGAACCTGTGGTGAAGCCATAGCACTAATGCCTGTTCCAATCACCAGCACAAGTTCCAGAGGCTTCTTACTTTTTAAGCTTGGAAGCAGCTTCCTGGGCTTTATGGTGGGGGGTGTGTCATCACTGAAAAATCCAAAAATCTTTTCTGGCTTCCTATAGAAGCCATCTAGTTTCATACAAAGGATTGGAACTTCCCTGTCACTGCTTTCCCGCCTGTGAAGCTTCTGAGAAGGTATATCCATGTCTGCTCCAAACGCAGCTGCTCTAACTCGTAAGGTCCCTTTTATTAAAGTTACCACTTTTTTGGTTTGATTGCTGAGAAATATAGCACTAAGTATAATACTAATATGTAATGTCTAAAAACTTAGTACATTTATTTGTGCATATTTTATCATGTATCATAATTATACATTAATAAATACACATATGCATTTCTATATTATCAATAACTTGCTTAATATTTGTTTTTTTATTTATTAAATTTTTTTTATTAATTTATTTTTGTTACAGATGTTTCTCCTTTTTCCCCCATTGACACCCTCCTCCCAATATCCCCCACCCGCCCCATCCCCAGCATTGTTGTCTATGTCCATTGGCTATGCATACATGCATATAAGTTCTGTGGTTTATCTCTTCCCTCCACCCCCTCTTCTGAGGTTTGTCAGTCTGTACCCTACTTCTGTGTTTCTGAGTCTGTTTTGTTCATCAGATTGTTCATAATATTCCACAAATAAGTGAGATCATGTGGTATTTGACTTTTCTGATTGGCTTATTTCGCTTAGCATAATGCTCTCCAGGTCCCTCTATGTTGTCTCAAAGGATAAGAGATCTTTCTTTCTTACAGCTGCATAGTATTCCATTGTGTACATGTACCACAGCTTTTTCATCCACTCATCTATTGATGGACACTTGGGCTGTTTCCAGATCTTTGCGATTGTAAATAGTGCTGCTATGAACATAGGGATACATATATTTTTTCTAATTGGTGTTCAGGCTTCTTAAGGTATATTCCTAGAAGTGGGATCACTGGGTCAAATGGCAGTTCAATTTTTAACTTTTTGAGGTAACACCATATTGTTTTCCATAGTGGCTGCACCAGTCTGCATTCCCACCAGCAGTGTAGGAGAGTTCCCTTTTCTCCACACCCTCGCCAGCACTTGTTTGATGATTTGTTGATGGCGGCCATTCTGACAGGTGTGAGGTGATACCTCATTGTTGTTTTAATTTGCATCTCTCTGATAATTAGTGACATTGAGCATTTTGTCATATGTCTCTTGGCCATTTGTATGTCCTGTTTGGAGAGGTGTCTTTAGGTCCTCTGCCCATTTTTCATTGGGTTCTTTGTCTTCCTTTTGTTCAGTTGTATGAGTACTATATATATTTTGGAAATTAACCTCTTATCTGATGTATTGTTGGCAACTATGCTCTCTCATATAGTGGGTTCCCTTTCCATTTTGATGCTTGTTTTTTTTTTTGCTATGCAGAAACTTTTGAGTTTGATGTAGTCCCATGTGTTCATTTTTTCCTTTGTTTCTCTTGGCCTTAGGCATGTATCAGTGAAAATTCTGCTGTGTGTGATGTCTGAAATTTTGTTGCCTACATTTTTTTCTAAGATTTTTATGGATTCATGAGTCACATTTAAGCCTTTCATCCATTTTGAGTTTATTCTTGTGTAAGTTGGAGGTCTAACTTCATTTTTTTGCATGTAGCTGTCCAATTTCCCCAACACCATTTATTGAAGAGGCTGTTTTGACTCCACTGTATGCTCTTGCCACCTTTGTGAAGTATTAATTGAGCATATAGTCTTGGGTCAATTTCTGGGTTCTCTATTCTGTTCCATTGATCTATAAGCCTGTTCTTGTGCCAGTACGAGACTGTTTTGATAGTGACTTTGTAGTATAACCTGATACCTGCTATTGTGATCCCTCCTACTTTGTTCTTCTTTTTCGAGATTGCTGTGACTATTTGGGGTCTGTTTTGGTTCCATATAAACTTTTGGAGTATTTGTTCTAGTTCTGTGAAATATGTCGTTGGTATTCTCATGGGGATTGCACTGAATCTATAGATTGCTTTGGGTAGTATGGTCATTTTAATAATGTTAATTCTTCCAATCCATGAACAAGATATATGCTTCTACTTTTTTATATCTTCCTCTATTCTTTTTTCAGTGACCTGTAGTTTTCTGTGAAGAGGTCCTTTACTTCTTTGGTTAAGTTTATTCCTAGGTATCTTAATTTTTTGCTGCAATGGCAAATGGGATTTTTTTTTAGTTTCTCTTTCTGTGAGTTCATCGTTAGTGTATAAGAATGCCATCGATTTCTTGACGTCAATTTTGTATCCTGCTACTTTGCCAAATTCATTTATTAAATCTAGTAGATTTTTGATGGAGTCTTTAGGGTTTTCTATGTACAATATCATGTCATCTGCAAATCAGGAAGTTTCACGTCCTCCTTTTCCATTTGAATCCCTTTTATTTTGTCTTCATGTCTAATTGCTATAGCTAAGACTTCCTGTACTATGTTAAATAAGAGTGTGAAAGTGGGCATCCCTGTATATGCTTCTTAAACAAAAGCCCAGTTCCTCTTCTTAAGGGAAGTGCTTTTAGTTTTTGCATATTGAGTATGATGTTGGCTGTAGGTTTTCTGTATATGGCCTATATTATGTCAAGATATGATCCCTCTATTCCCACATTGCTGAGTGTTTTTATCAGAAATGGGTGCTGGATTTTGTTGAATGCTTTTTCAGCATCTATTGATAAGATTATATGGTTTTTATCTTTCATTTTGTTTATGTGGTGTATTATATTTATTGATTTGTGAATATTGTACCATCCTTGCATCCCTGGGATGAATTCCACTTGGTCATGATGAATAATTTTTTTGATGTATTACTGGATTCGATTTGATAGGATTCGATTTTGTTAAGGATTTTGGCATCTGTTTTTTTTTATTTTTTTATCCTCACTAGAGGACATTTTTCCATTTTTTTGTTCAGATAGAGTGGGAGGGAGAGAGAGGAACAGAGAGAGAGAGAGAGAGAGAGAAACATCGATATGAAAGGAACACATTGAGTGGCTGCCACCCACACAACCGACCAGGGCCGGGGACAAACTGCAACCCAGGTACGCACCCTTAGCGGGAACCGAACCTGGGTCTCTCAGGACCGCAGGCCGATGCTCTAACCGCTGAGCCAAACCGGCCAGGGCTTGGCATCTGTTTTCATCAGGGATATTGGCCTGTAGTTTTCTTTCTTTGTAGTGTTTTTATCTGGTTTTGGAGTTAGGATTATGCAGACCTCATAAAATGTGTTTGGAAGTCTTTCTTCTGTCTTCTTGGATTGTTTGGAATAGTTTGAGGAGAATGGGTGTTAGATCTTCTTGGAATGTTCGGTAAAACTGCCCTGTAAAGCCATCCGGGCCTGGGCTTTTGTTTCCTGGGAATTTCTTGATTACATCTTCAATTTCCTTAGTTGTTATTGGTCTGTTCGAGTTTTTTGTCTCTTCCCGGTTCAGTTTTGGGAGACTGTGTTTCTAGAAATTTGTCCATTTTGCCTACCAGGACTGTCCAATTTGTTGGTGTATAATTGTTCATAGTATGTTTTGATGATCCTTTGTATTTCTGTGGTGTCAGAATATTTGTTTTTTAAACTATATTCAAAACAGTCTTTGTACTTGTGTGCTGTTGATGGGTTAATTGCATGATTGGAGAGCTACTGATGATTGTTATTCGAATGCTTCTTTAAGCTAGCAAGATTTATGGTAGTGCTTTAACATAGACTTCTTTTATTTTAGGGAACTCAATTTCCTGCATCTGCTGAATCTCAAAAACCCCGGCTGAAAAGAGGTCTGTATGCAATTTCCTTGTATATGTATATTTGCAGATTTCTTTTATTTCTTTGTTCTATATTTATTAGAGCTACTAAAAATATGATTGTTGACAAAAGCCCTATTGGTGTAAATGTTCTGCCATATCTAGCTTTTATTTTATGGAGTTGTTAGAAATTAAGGGGTTGATTTTACCTATAAATGTGTTTAAATGGAGTTTTATTATTATATAAATGTGTTCTAATTTTCCACTTGTGGCAAAACCACTCCAAAATTTCCATAAGTACATATCAGGCCTCAAATAATCTCATGTATATGTTAAGAAAGTGTGAGATTTTACAAAAATTGAGTCTGGAAAGTGTAACTTGGTAAGGACCTATTATACTGTAAAGTACTGTATTTATAATCAGATAGGGATATGATATATATTTCATTTAAAGGAACAGGATTTCTTCATTTGTTAACCTATACTTGTAGGAAGGAGGGTTTGCATCCAGGGTTAGGGTACTATGTATATTGAATATTCTCCCATGCCTGAACTTTTTATTTAGCAGAAGAGACCATCTATTTTATTATTTATTCTTTATTTTCTAGATAAGGAAACCAAGGCTGAGTGGAAGGGGCATGTCTTGATCACAGTCTTGTGTGTAGCTCTTGCCTGCATACCTGAGTTATAGTCACTAGGCTGCGCTTCCTTTGCAGCATGGGTTTTCCTGTTGTTTGCTAAGAGTTTTAAAGTTGATTTTGTCCATAAAATGTTTAGTTAATTTGGGACATTTCTGTTACTCTTTGAAATTATAAATTAGAAAATATGATTGCCTCTCAGGAATTTATTTTCAAAGAGTTTTTCAGGATTACACCTTTCACTGAAAGAGTAGTACATTTTTAATTTAGACTGTGAAATTTAGATATAATTCTGCCAAAATTTAACATAATTGCTGATATTTTTATTTATTTATTTATTTTTTTAATTTTTTTGGTATGTGCCCCTAGTGGGAACCGAACCCGGGTCTCTCTGGTCCACAGGCCGACGCTCCAACCGCTGGGCCAAACCAGCCAGGGCGATTGCTGATATTTTTATACCATGTCTGGGCATGAGAATCATCTTCCTGTGATATATGTCTCTCTGTTCAATCACCAGGGTGTTTTGACTAGTTAGGTGGGGCAAGTGGGTCTTGTGATTATCTTTCCAGTATTCTTTCCACACTTCCTCCAGAGTCGAACACAGAGGTTTCATTGATTTCCAGACTAGAACTGTAATTAGTATACACCAATCAAGAAGTGGCCCTTGCCAATTCAGGCTAATGAGATACAAATTTTATAGCTATGAGGAAAAGGGAAACATGCCATACTATAAAACTGAACAATGCTGTTGTGTTCTAATCAGTTTTTTCTCCCTCCCCCACTGCAGAGCAACTGCTTTTTGATTTCTATTATTAAAGTTTAGGTTTTCCTGTTCTTGAACCCCTCATAACTAGGAGTACTTACTGTTAGGGTTTGGCTGATGATGTGGCCTGTGAATGCAGGGAGGAAATTAATTTTACTTCAAGGGAGGAAAAGGCTGGGTATTGATTGATAGGCAATACAAGGCAAGGAAGAAAGAGTGGTTTTGCACTTTTAAAGAGCAAGCAGTTGCTGTTGCTACGCAACAAGGAAGGAAGAGGTTTAAGTTAGTCAGATTGGTTGGGAGTTTGTCTTGAAAAGTTAGTTTGTTTGCTTTCCAGGAAACACTCAGGCAGATGCATTGAGCACTTATCTCAAACACATTTTTACCAAGCCTGTAAAACAAACTTAGAAATAAGTTATAAAGAGTTCAAAAGAGACATGCCTGTTTGAAGAGGAAGGGGAAGACTAGGAGGAGAATTCTTGCTAACTAGCCTGAAGCTATTAAAACAGTGGGGAGGCCCTGGCCAGTTTGGCTCAGAGGTTGGAGCATTGGCATGTGGTCTGGAGAGATCCGGGTGGGTTCGGTTCCCGCTAAGGGCATGTACTTCGGTTGCAGTTTGTCCCCGGCTCTGGTTGGTCATGCGGGTGGCAACCACTCGATGTGTCCCTTTCACGTCGATGTTTCTCTCTTCCTCTCTCTCTCCCTCCTACTCTATCTGAACAAAATGTCAAAAAAATGTCCTCGGGTGAGGATAAAATAAAATAAAATAAAATAAAAACAGTGGGGAGGAGGGGGATGGAGGAGTGTAGTCTTGAGTGCAGCATTATCTTGTGCCCCTATTTGAACAAAGAAGCTGTTTGAATCAGAGGAGCCAACAATCTCTTGGTTTAATTACCAGGTGCTTCTCATAAATTGTGGAAAAGTCACAATAAAAAAAGGAGAAGCCTGTTTTTTGTCCTCATGCTTACCAGGCAGGACCAAGTGATAGGTGTTTGGAATACAAAGATAAATAGGGCATAGATTCTGCCCTCAGGGGGTTGGCAGTCTTCAGGGTGTATAGAGTATAAGCAGATAATTAAAGAGCAGAATATGCTTCCTAGATACTTTCTTCTGAAGGTTAAGCATTTCTACTTTTTTAAACTCTTCCAGTGAGATGTTTAGAACACTTTGCTGTTATTGCTTTGGTCATCTGGTGAAATGTGTTGGCTGTTTTGGAACTATAGAATTAGGACTAAATAGAGTATTCTATGTATGACATGAACAGGGCCACATGGAACATCTGGAAGATAAAAGTCTCTTCATCTGGATCTTTTATTTATGTTAGCCCAGCTCAGGGTTGCATTGCCTTTTGGGCAACCATTTTATACATTTGCAATACCACTAAATTGCACAATGGCAGGCGTATCATTCATGTAGAATACAATGACTGCAATAAAAATGATGCCTTTGGAGTTGTGCACGGTAGTGACACAGGCCCCTAAAATATTGAGGATATAACATGCTCTTTAAAAAAATTTTTTTTTCCTTTATTGATTTGAGAGAGAGAGGAAGGGAGAGGGAGGGAGGGATAGAAACATTGATGAGAGAGAACATCAACTGGCCGCCTCCTGCATGTCCCCCACTGGTGATTTGGCCCACAACCTGGGCATGTGTCCTGACCGGGAATCGAACTGGCGACCTCCTGGTGCATGGGTTGATGCTCAGCCACTGAGCCATACCAGACGGACTAACATGCTCTTAATCTGCCCTTAATTTCTGGCTTCCATAACCTATAATTTTACCTGTCGATAAAGATGGTGGATTACATTGAATTTTGGAATGTTGTATCAACATTGCATTCCTGGGATAAATCTCACATGGTAATATTATATTAACCTTTTTATTTATGGCTGGATCCTATTTGCTAATATTTGGTTAATGATTTTTTTTTTGTCCTCACCCGAGGACATTTTTTTATTTTTTGTTCAGATAGAGTGGGAGGGAGAGAGAGAGACAAACATCGATGTGAAAGGAACACATCGAGTGGCTGCCTCCCACATGACCCAACCAGGGCTGGGGACAAACTGCAACCGAGGTATGTGCCCTTAGCAGGAACTGAACCCGGGTCTTTCTGGACTGCAGGCTGATGCTCTAATCGCTGAACCAAACCTGCCAGGGCTATTGTGTTAATGATTTTTGCATTTGTGTTCATGAAGGATGTTGGTCTATAGTTTTTATTTTTTGTGATGCTTTTGTCTGTTTTTGGTGTCAGGGTTATGTTGGCCTCAAACAAGTTTGGTATAGTTTTTTCTTCTATTTCCTGTGTAGAACTGGTGTTACTTCTTTCTTAAATGTTTGCTAGAATGTGACAGTGAAGCAAACTGGGCCCGAGTTTTTCTTTGTTAGTTTTTAAGTACAAACTGAATTTCTTTAATATATGTGGGACTATTCAGGTTATATATTTCTTTTTTTTTTTTTTTTTTTTTTTTTTTATCCTCACCCGAGGATATTTTTCCATTTTTTGTACAGATAGAGTGGGCGGGAGAGAGAGGAAGGGAGAGAGAGAGAGAAACATCGATGTGAAGGGACACATCGAGTGGCTGCCACCCGCATGACCAACCAGGGCCGGGGACAAACTGCAACCGAAGTACGTGCCCTTAGCGGGAACCGAACCCGGGTCTCTCCGAACCGCAGGCCGACGCTCTAACCGCTGAGCCAAACTGGCCAGGGCTATATATTTCTTTAGAGAGCGTTTTGGTAATGTTTTTCCTTCAGATAAATGTGTCCATTTCATTTCAGCTATCAAATTTATTGTCATTAGCTTCATAATACTCCTTTATTTTCCTTTTAATTAATATGTGAATGATATGTAATGATTTTCCCTCTGTTGTTGCTTTTGGTAATTAAAAAATTTTATCTTTATTGTTGAAAATATTACAGATGGTCCCTCCTTTTTTTACCCCATTGACACCCTCCTCCCTACTCCTACCCGCCCCTGCTTTCTTTCTTTCTTTCTTTTTTTTTTTTAAAATCTTTATTGTTGGATGTAAAATGTATTACTGATGTTCCACATTTTTCCCCCATTGACCCCCTCCTCACCACTCCCGCCCCCCTCCCACCTTTTCCCACACTATTGTCTGTGTCCACTGGTTATGCATACAAGTTCTTTGGTTTATTTCTTCCCACCGCCCCAACCCCTTTCCCTTTGAGGTTTGTCAGTCTAGCAATGAATTTGTACTTCTTAATCCCTTCACCTTTTCACCCATTCCCCCAACACCCCCAACTGGCAACCAACAAAATGTTCTCTGTATCTATGAGAATGTTTCTGTACTGCCTGCTCATTTTGTTTGTAGATTCCATTGTTGATAGATATGTATTCATTGTAATTTTGTTTGTTCATACATTTTATCTTTTTCTTCAGAAAGACCCTTCCTCATTTCATATAATAACGGTTTGGTAGTGATGAACTCCTTTAACTTTTTCTTGTCTGGGAAAGTTTTTATATGTCCATCGATTCTAAATGACAGCTTTGCAGGATAGAGTAATCTTGGTTGTAGGTTCTTGGTTTTCATCACTCTGAATATTTCTTGCCACTCCCTTCTGGCCTGCAAAGTTTCTTTTGAGAAATCGGCCAACAGCCTAATGGGTACTCC